ACTTTAATTTGAACACCCGATATATCAACAATATATAGAGTTGCATTACGTTATCGTGGTAATAAAATGACAAATTAAAGATCACAATATGCATCCAATGATTGTTTTTTATTTTGTAGTTTTGATATTTTTTCGTTCAACCATTTGAATTTTCGGCTAAATGATTTTTCGACATTTTTTATTTGGACAAATTAAATTGTCGTTTTTGTATTTTCGACTATTTATAATTATTGTAATTAATTCGATTCGATCATTTATCTATCTCTTTGACTTTTTGAATTTTGATAATTTTCCCGCTTACAATTGGTCAGCAAACCTTTTTTTAGGAATGAAAAATTATCCATGTTCTCAAATGTGGTATGCAACTTTATCCAACTTTACTATTGTATTTTTCTTCCCTTCCTATATTGGAAATTTTTGTATTATAGGCCTGAATATGGCCAAATAGTATTCTGTGAAATAAATATTGTTACCCTGCACCCTACAGTAGCATTCGGCTATTGTAGGAAACATACGAATACAAAAAGAAGTACAATGTCACCCATCACCCTACAGTGTGCTGCGGTCTTCATAAGTAAAATAACAAGAAAGAATAGTCCAGAAATGTCTGGAAATGTCATTCTTTGTCAAGAAAAATCTGGACAGTTCGAGAAAATTCGAGCTATATAAGTGAACGATGCTGACGTCAATTTTTCAGTTTTATGATAGACGTTATACGTTAATCTTCTCAGTTGAATTATTGTTAAAGTTGAGTTGAAATAAATTGAGTTACCAAAAACCTGCGTATCATTAGTGACAGCGGCGGGATCATCGACTTATATAGCTTGCTTGAGCTATCCAGATTTTTCTTGACAGGGAATGACATTTCCAGACATTTCTGGACTATTGTATCTTCTTATTTTACTCGAACTTTTACTTATGACGACTGCAGCACACTGCAGGGCCATGGGTGACATTGCACTTCTTTCTCTATTCGTACGTTTCCTATAACAGCCGCATGCTACTGTAAGGTGCAGGGTATGTCATGTTATGTTGATAATGGGGTGTTAATACACTGCGACCTAAAAGATCTATTGTGCCCCCTTCTGTCGCCACTGCACTAAGGAAATGTCTCAATGCCTATAGCGACCCTTCCAATCCTATTTTCTCAAGGAAGTGTAGGATTTGAAGTGGCTTCAAGTTAGGTAAGTCTCCCTCTTCTATTTGATATCCTCCTAGATATAGTGCCCTTGGATTCTGGAGTGCTACACATTCAGTTAGGATGTGAATGGAGGTTTCGTCCTCCTCCTCACAGAATCTGCACTCACTATCCTCTACTACTCTCAGTTTACTTAGGTGTCCTTTTAGTCGGCAGTGCCCGGTAAGGATCCCTGTTACAATACGTAGCCTGTTCTAGCTCAGGCAGATGCAGGCTTCCGATCTTTTTTGGTTATATTCACCCAGAAGTATCTTGGCCTGTCTCAGCCCCAAAAGATTGTTCCAATTATCGGTTCTTCTACTACCCAATTCTTTTTTAATCTCTTCTAAAATTATGTTACTGCTGATACCGCAGAACGGCTCAGGTCCTACAAAGGGTGTTTGAGCCCCTTTCCTTGAAAGACTATCTGCAATCTCGTTACCCTGTACCCCGTTATGTCCCGGGACCCAAGTGAGAGTAACTCTATTTTTCTCGCCTAGCTCATTCAATTGTTCTAGGCATCTCCATACCATTTTTGAGCTGATTACGTAAGAACTCAGCGCTTTTATGGCTGCTTGACTGTCGGACATGATGATAATCTCTTGTTTATGATAGTTTCTCTCGATGTTAAACTGGATACACTTCTCGATGGCGTGAATTTCCGCCTGGAAGATGCTTGGGTATTTTCCCAAGCTTTCGGAGTGCTTGGTTCTCGGCCCATACACTCCTATTCCAGTTTCTTCTATAATTTTGGAACCGTCCGTGTACCACTGAATAGCACGTCTTTCGGTTGCAAGCGCGATGGATTCTTGGCTCCATTCTTTCTTGCAGCCCAGCTCTGTGGTTTTGAAGTTTTTCACAAAACTGTACTTCTTTTGCATTTCATCCTGGGGCATGTCCCAGGTATCTTTAGTCCTGAAGCAAGTAGACTTTCATCTGATTACTCCGCTCCTGATCATTCTATATCGTGTCCTTTTTGCCACATTCTCTATCATCAAATGTAGAGGGGTGAGGTTTAAGATCACCTCCATTGCGGCCGTAGGACAGGTTCTCATTGCACCAGTAATGCAAACACAGGCTAGTCTTTGTACTTTTGAGATATTAGCTCTCGTAGTAACTAAACTAGTTCTGTTACTCCAGGCTATAGCCCCGTAAGTGATGATTGGTCTCACTATTGCAGTATACATCCATCGCAGTATGTTTGGGTTACATCCCCATCGTTTACCCGCCATGTTTCTGCATACCATTAGGGCTTTTGTGGCCTTATTTACTACTTCCTTCTCATGTGTGTTCCAGAGAAGTTTGTTGTCCAGGGTTAGGCCTAGATATTTGACTTCATTTTTCCATTCTATATCTATCCCGTCTAATTTAACGGTTTTGAGATTAAGTTTTCTTTTCCTTGAAAAGGCTACTAGTGTTGTTTTTGTAGGGTTTCACGGCACCATCTTTTGGTATGTTCTAGTCCTCTTTGGACTATATCACACAGGATATTACTAAACTTGCCACTAGCAAATATGACTATGTCGTCGGCATAACCTTGACAGTGTATGCCGAGGTCAGTCAATCTGCATAGAAGTTCGTCTACGATTAGGCTCCACATTAGTGGGGATAGAACTCCTCCTTGTGGACATCCTCTGGTTGTGCAGATGGAGATGGTGTCCTGCCCTATCTGTGTCTCTGCAGTTCTCGAAGATAACAGCTGAGCCATCCATCTGGATGTGATGTTATCTACTCCTCTGTATGCAAGTGCTCTTTTTACAGATTCGTGTGGCGTGTTGTCAAAAGCTCCTTCTATGTCTAGAAAGGCACACACGACCGTTTCTTTGTTTGTCAGTGCATCCTGGATTACATCAGTCAACTGTACCAGGGCAGTTTCTGTAGATCTTCCTGCTCGGTACGCGTGTTGACTGTGGTGGAGTGGCACCCTCTCCAGGACTTCTGTTCTGATATAGTTATCAACAGCCTTCTCCATTGTTTTTAATACAAAGGATGTGAGGCTAATTTGACGGAAAGATTTAGGATGTGTGGTATCCTTTTTCCCTACTTTTGGAATAAAGGTGACTCTGGCCCTTCTCCATGCTTCTGGTATATATCCCATCTCCAGACTGCTCCGGGATAGCCGGATTATGTGTGGTAGTAATTCCTCCTGTGCCTGCTGAAGCAGGGCAGGAAATATTCCATCCACACCTGGAGACTTAAACGGTTTAAAAGTGTTTACGGCCCACCTTAACCGATTTCTGCTGCATATATGCTTGGCCACTACAGCGGCCTCTCTTGGGGGTCTGCTTACCTTAGTTGTGTCCCTTATTAGAAATGGTGTGCTTCCAGGAAAGTGAGTTTCGAGTAAGAGGCGAGCTCTTTCCTCCTCACTCTCCGTGAAGCTTCCATTTGGTTTCTTTAATGCCATAACTGTATCAACTCTCCCTTTTGCCAGGACCCTGTGCAGTCTCGCTGCCTCAGGTGTTAATATCCTCGCAGAATTTTCTAAAGCTGTTACGTTTAGCTTTCCTGATTTCTTTGTTGTAGGTAGTAAGCGCCTCGGTGTAGCTCTGCCAATCTCCGCTGTGCTTGGCCCTATTATAGAGCTTCCGCACTTCGTATCGTAAGTTTGACAGATGACGGTTCCACCAAGGAGCATCCCTACTAGTCCTATTTCTTTGAATGGGGCAGCTTGATTCATATGCCTCAAGTATTGCCCCATTTAGTTCTTCGAGATCGCTTTCCAGAGCAAGTGGATGCCCCGGCTCCTTTTTTGTCTGGATACGTGCTAAATTTTGTTTTAGAATGGTGTTGTATTTGTCCCAGTCTGTTTTTCTAGGATTCCTCCTGAGGATCGTCTCAGGAATGTCGCTCTCTAACGTAAACACAATTATCTTGTGATCAGATAGAGATGGTTCACTCGATACCTTCCAGTTTTTAACTAGATCTTTAATGCTCGGTGTGCTTAATGTGATGTCTAATACCTCATTTCTTGCCCTTGTTACAAATGTTGGAGTATTCCCAATATTTTGCACAATAAGGTTCTTATTAAAAATATATTCTAAAAGTTGCTCACCTCTTTGATTGGTGTCGTTGCTTCCCCATACAGTGCTGTGCGCGTTGGCGTCGCATCCAAGAAGTAATATCAGATGTCTTCTCTGGCAGTACTCCACTAGCCTCGATACTTCCGGGGGTGGTACATGCCCATCTCCAGCGAAGTAACTAGAAGCTATTACTATGTCTTGCCGCCTCATCCCTAATTCCAGGTATGCTCGAATTGGAACGAGATCACGCGTCATGAATTCTGAAAGACAAGAATATTTAATATTACTTCTTACCATTATGCATGTTCTGGGTACTTCATCACTAGTGTGATAAATTACCCTTGCATCCTTACATGCAAGTCCTCTTACCTGGTTTCCATAGACCCACGGTTCCTGGATCAATACGATCCCTAATTGATCTTTAGTGAATGTCCTAGATATCACAGCCGAGGCTCCCTTGGCGTGATGGACATTCACTTGGGCGATGTTGATGCCCGCCATTTTTCTCTCCTTTAATGGGGGGTGTTGTCCCCATCGGTGAGGGTGCGTTCCAAGGTGCAGGGTAACAATATTGTAGTAATGTTTTTGACTTTCATTCATTATTTCTTTAAACATTTTTCTGACGCAATCATATCAGTATATTCCATATTCCACTCTCAAACACCTGTATTTCATTTTTTAAACTGACTGACGTAAGACATGACATCTACAAAATAAATGAAAACAAAATACATTCGAGGTGAAATTGGTTTTAATTTGTTTTCGCTTTTGTCAAAAACAAAACATACTTTTAATTAGGAATGCTAATAAATTATGTACGTATTTCCAAGAACTCGCATTCAATTTTTATTATCGCACAATTTGCACGATTTGCCCCATAAAATTAATCTTGTACTTTCTTGTCGAGCTTCCGGGCTTTATTTATGCCGAAATTTACATTCCATTTAACATTTTTTTATCCCAATAAAGAAGTCGCATATAAAGAAGGATATTCATCACTTGGTTTAAAGTCTGAAAACAAAATAAATCTCGCTGAGGTTTTCTTACAAATATTATTGCATAAATTCTAGCGGCAGTATACAGGGTGAAATACATGCACATACTAAACCTGACAAAAGTGTATGATGAGAATAAAAGAATGGCATACATTTTAGCCATTATACCGTGTATTAGTATATTCGACCAAAAACGCTCTACCCCCAGAGAGCTCTCGTTAATTGATGTTACCGAGATTAAGGGTCTTAAAAGTTAAAAATTAAAATTTAAAATTTGCTCTAAATCATATCTGATGACCAATATGCTCTTGAAGGTTAGTGGCAATTTTTCCCTTATTTTTTCGCCACACTGAAACAACAATTTTTTATTTTTTAATATATATTTTTTTAATTCTCTGTTAATTTTTTGTTAAAAAATAGGATCCTATTATGGAGCTACAATAATCGATATTGCAAAAGGTTTCATTTAAAAAAAGTCTGCATGTACTTATTTTTAAATAATAATCTATTAGACAAATGTCAAAATTTTTATCTCATTAACACAACTGAAAAAGGAACGAGAAGGAAGAAAACTTTTCAGAGATATAACGGCTACCTACCAAATAAAGATTGATAACAATCTTGTTAAAGTGTGTAAAAAATGTTTCTGTGTGCTTATGAGGAAAATTTGATGTTCATGTTATGAAAGTAAAAACCTGCTATTGATAGTAATTGCCTCTTGGAGATATGCGTAGGCGCCCCTAGTCAAAACACAAAATGACAAAACAACGGAAGTAATGAAACAACACATAGAGAAATATTCAAAGTGTGAGAGTCATTACACTGACATAAATTCTAGCAAAACAAGACTGGGGAAAATGTATAAGGAATATAAACATGATTGTGATTTGTCTAGCAGAATGGACTGTGAATCGTACAGCATGTTTGCCAAGAACTTAGAAAAAAATGGTATTAACTTTAATCAACCCAAAACGAATGCTTGCAAAATATGCGATTATTTGTACTCAACTTGAAGTATTTGAAGAATCCAGAAGATAAAACGAAATATTAAAGTAACTATAAGGCTCACACAAAATTGACTAATGACGGTTATGAACAGAAACGACTGGACAAAGACAGTTGTATTCGCGATTCAAGCATAATTGTATAAAATTTCTAATAGATAATAAAATAAAAAAAAAAATTAAAAATACATAAAAACGTTGATAAAGATTATCAGAGTACCAAATAATAATAGTAATAATAATTAATAATAATAAATAATAATAATAATAATAATAATAATAATAATAATAATAATAATAATAATAATAATAATAATAATAATAATAATAATAATAATAATAATAATAATAATAATAATAATAATAATAATAATAATAATAATAATAATAATAATAATAATAATAATAATAATAATAATAATAATAATAATAATAATAATAATAATAATAATAATAATAATAATAATAATAATAATAATAATAATAATAATAATAATAATAATAATAATAATAATAATAATAATAATAATAATAATAATAATAATAATAATAATAATAATAATAATAATAATAATAATAATAATAATAATAATAATAATAATAATAATAATAATAATAATAATAATAATAATAATAATAATAATAATAATAATAATAATAATAATAATAATAATAATAATAATAATAATAATAATAATAATAATAATAATAATAATAATAATAATAATAATAATAATAATAATAATAATAATAATAATAATAATAATAATAATAATAATAATAATAATAATAATAATAATAATAATAATAATCCAACTTACTATAAATATCAGCCCGCAGCTGTCGGAATCAACAGAAAAGGTGCTGTATTGGGATAGAACGATAACAACGGACAGGACAGTCGACTACAATAGACCAGACATCGTCATTATCGACAAAAAAAAAGAAAACAGGATTGATCATCGATATAGTTGTACAAGCTGTACCACTGTCATACAACGTCACTAAAACCGAGACCCAGACGATTAGAAATTATGAAAATTTGTCATATGAATTAAAGAACATATGGAAACTAGATGAAGTCTCCATAGTTCCACTGGTGATGTCAGAGGAGGGAATTATATCAAAACACTAAAAATCTCCAAGATATAGGATTATCAAAAACCATAGTGAGATATGCACAGAAAGCCAGTCATTTTGCACACCTGCCATATCTTCAAATCTTGAACAATTAATATCAAAATTAATTACACAGGAAATCCAAAAAGCGATTTCTAATACATCATTCCCCTACACTCCTTTTCAATACCCACCCCAACCTCGCTATTCCAGTCGACCTAAACGCAATCGTGATAGTTCTGAGGAAGACTCCATAACAAGTGAGACAAGCGTGTCTCAATCTCAATCTCAAACCGAAAAACCCACAAAGAAAAAAAAAAGTAAGGCATGGCCCAAAGGTAAACCTAGAAAGGTTACCACTCTTTCAATGGACTTGGACAATCCAGATCCTAAATTGTACCCTCCAGGTTATAGCTTGGACCCTCCGGGTTCTAAGTTGGACCCTCAGGGTTCTAAGTTGGACCCTCCGGGTTTTAACTTCGACCTTCCTGGTCCTAACTTAGACCCACCTGGTCTTAGCTTGAACACTACGGGCTCTAAGAACTTGCAAGAACTGAACAAATAAAGTCAGACCTCTTTAATTTTTTTTTAATATATCTATTAACAAAAATATATTTTACATACAATAATTTATTTACCACCTATCTAAAAATATATTATTTTATGAACGTAGTAACAGTTTACACACACACATACACAAAAATACAATGGACTCCAGCAATACCATGATTCAGTGGAACTGTAATGGACTTCAAAACAATATAAGTGAACTACAACTAATTAAAAATAAATACAACCCTACTGTTATTGCACTGCAGGAAACTCATTTTAAACCCTCTGATTTCTTTCGATTAAGAGGTTTCCAAGGTTTTCAAAAGGACATCCTTCCAACTCAAAGGGCACATGGCGGTGTTGCAATTTTCATCGGAGGTTCTATTCCTACAAAACAAATTCCGTTAATAACAAACTTACAAACAATTGCCGTTCAAATTGAGATCCCATTAAAGATTACAATTTGCAACATATACTTACCCAACGGAAACTGGCAAACAACCGAGATCGACAACATTATTCGGCAACTCCCCCCTCCTTTCATTTTAATGGGAGATTTCAACGCTCACTCACCGTTTTGGGGATCAGCATCTCTTAACTACACAGGTCGGCGGGTCGAATCTATAATAGAAGAAAATAACCTGCTATTATTAAATAATGGGAAACCAACAATACTCAACATAACAACTGGTGAAACATCAGCCATAGATCTCACTTTATGCTCCCCTCAACTCGCACCGAGACTAGTTTGGGACGTTATGAATGACACTTACTCCAGCGACCACTTCCCTATACTTATTCAAGTAGACGAAAATAAAAAGACTTTCCAACCCAAAGAGAGATGGCTAATTAAACAGGCCAATTGGATCCAATATGAACAAGAAGTCAATATCCCAGATCTCCCTAGAGACATTGATGAAGCCTGTGAAATCCTCACTAGTACCCTAATCGAGGCTGCAAAAAAAGTATACCGATGTCTAAACCATCAATGACTCATCGGCCAGTACCGTGGTGGAACGATGGAATTAGAATTGCAATTTCTGAACGGAAAAAATCTTTAGGGAAATTAAAACGTTTTCCTACAATGGAAAATCTTACCCTCTTCAAAAAAGCAAGAGCCCAAGCAAGAAGAAAAATCTTAACTGCAAAAAAACTTAATGGGAAGAATATGTGTCTTCAATAACTCCAGATGTTGGTCTTAACGAAATTTAGAAAAAAGTTAAAGTAATAGCAGGAAAAATTACTATAACAGCTTGGAAACTTTAACATACGAGGGCAATATATTAAACGACCAGCAACAAATATGTGAAGCGTTTGCCAACCACTTCGAACAAACAAACAGTTCCAGTAACTATGATCACCAGTTTCAGAACATTAAGCATATAGAAGAACAAAATTCTCCCAACTTCAATTGCTTTTCAACCCTTAATTATAATCTACCTTTCTCACTTACCGAGCTGAATAACATGATACAGAACTGCAAAGAATCAGCACCAGGACATGACGGAATTCTATACAGTATGATAAGACATTTACCGATAGCTGAAAGGATAAAACTACTAGCGTTTTATAATTTCATCTGGAACTCTGGAATTTACCCCAAAAACTGGAAAATATCGATAATTATTCCTATCCTAAAGAACTCGAAACCTTGCTCAGATCCCAACAACTACCGCCCTATATCATTGACTAGCTGTCTAAGCAAAGTAATAGAGAAGATGATTAATGTAAGGCTCTCGTGGTGGCTGGAAACAAACAGCTTCCTATCCAATAAACAAACTGGTTGTAGACCTAACCACTCAACTACTGACGCTCTAGTTAACTTTGAAAATAAAATTCAGGATGCCTTTTCCAAGAGGGAACATTTGGTTGAACGTTTTGACCTTGAAAAAGCTTACGACAGAACCTGGCGATTTTCGATTATTAAGCAACTGAACAAGTGGGAAATGAGAGGTAATCTTCCAAAATTACTACAAAACTTTTTACAAGATAGATATTTCTCCACCCGAATAGGCAACACCGAGTCAACCAGAAGATTCCTAGAAAATGGAATACCTCAGGGCTCCGTTTTAAGTGTATAACTATTCGCGATCGCCATTAATTTCCTACTTGAACAATCTCAATCGGAAGCTAAAAGAGTCATTTACGTAGATGATCTAGTAGTTTTTTATAGACATAAATCCATCGATATTATTTCGGAAGTGATTAATAAGGAAATTAAAAGTATAGTTCAATCTACAAGAAAAAGGGGATTTATTTTTTCCAAGGAAAAGACAAAAGCCATTCACTTCTGCAGGCTAAGACTCCCTCACCCAAAACCCGAACTTACAATAGAACAACATTTTATCAGCCTTGATGCCCAACTTAAAATTCTTGGAGTCATTTTCGATAAATTTCAAATTAACCAGATTGTTACACAATGCAAAAATCCCTAAACCTCATTAAGTGTATGGCAAACATTAGATAGGGAGCAGACAGAGATATTTTATTGAACCTTTACATTTCCCTTATTCAGAGCCGATTTGATTACGCAGCGACCGTGTATAATTCATGTAGGCCAACTACTTTAAACGAGCTGGACAAAATACAGCTACAGGCATTAAGATATGCAACGGGGGCATTTAGAACTAGCCCACGTGCAGCAGTACAATGCGAAGCGGCAATTACTCCATTAGATTTAAGAAGAGAAGAGAGAACTATGATATACTCGTCTACAATTCTATCCCTTCCCCATCACCTTAATCATAACCTTTTTACTTCTGACAATAACTATATAGACATCCCGACAAGAACCAGACCTACCAGAATTCGGAACAGCGAAACCTGTCTAAAATATAACATCGACCAGTCAGCAATTCTGCTTAAGCAATGGTCATCAACCCCCCCGTGGAGTCTTCCAATCCCAAAATTCAATCTGGAACTTACTACATGGAAAAAAGAGAATATATCGGATACAACATATAGATTACTTTTTATGGAACAACTCAATTATTTCGAAAACCATCTCATAATCTATACAGATGGATCAAAAGTAATCTCAGGTGTTGGTGCGGCAATAGTCATAAACAACAAAGACTACAGATGGTCTCTCCATCCGTACAGTTCAATATTTACCGCGGAACTATTCGCCATATGGCAGGCTCTCTTATTCTTCTCTTTCTTGTCCTCTCAAAAATGCCTCGTATGTTCTGATTCATTAAGCTCAATCATGGCAATTGCAGACCCTTTCACAAAAAATGGTTACTGTCAGAGAATTCTTGAAATTTATAACCAGCTTATTGTAACTGGAAAAACATGCACCTTCATGTGGATCCCAAGTCATACCAAAATTAAAGGCAATGAGCTAGCAGATGATGCAGCCAAAAAAGCAGCGCAAGCCCCAACCGACCCAGGCATCCCCGTTCCCTTTGAAGACATGAAATGTTCTATACAACTAAGGATTAAATTGGAATGGCAAAACCGCTGGAGAATATATGAAGGACAACTAATACACATTAAGCCCAATGTGAACAAATTAACTTACCCTAAGTATTTAAATAGACGAGAGCAAGTTATCTACTGTCGACTTAAAATTGGACACACTAACCTGACTCACTCATACATTTTATCGGGTCAAGCAAGACCAATATGTAATCATTGCAATCGATATCTGACAATCAAACACATTCTAACATGTACCATGCACACTCAAGTCAGAAACCAATTCGATATTCAGCCAGAAATTGAAATATTAAAACAAGACGAAAATTTAAATAAAATACTTACCTTTCTAAAAGAAATCAATTTATACTATAATCTATAAACAACTAACCTTGCGAACCTACTAATACCGTATAAAACATAATATATAATAACTTACCGGACACGCAGCCAATGATCACAGCAATCGAAGCTGCAAAAAAATAATAATAATAATAATAATTGATTACAAAAAAGCGTTTGAAAAACATCACATGATCTACTATTACATCTGCTATGAATTCTTTCTGTGCCCATGCCTTTGGTAAGATACATTGAACAACTTATGCCGCTCTGGAAATCAAAGTTTTCCATAACAACTAGAAACTCGAAAGTAATAACAGAGCCAGTTTTACATGGACGACCTTATGGTCTATGCTATGAGCGACCGAGATTTACAACAATCTCTGAAGGTGGTGTAAGAATATACACGGGATATCTGTATGAAATTTGGATTGGACAAATGCACCGTTCTGAGACTTTAGAAAGGCCGTTGTGTAGACCAGCCTGAGAACGAGCAACTTACTGACGGAAGCATACTTCGTCACTTGGAAGGTGACAAAACTTACAAGTATCTTGATGTTGATCAACACCGAATGCATTACACTAAAAACGTCAAAAAAACGCTCCGCAGTAAGTATAGGCAGCGTCTCCAGAAAATATGGGAATCCCAGCTGACCGGAATCAACAAAGTTGCTGCCACTAATGTGCTTGCCGTTCCTGTGCTCTTGTATTCATTTGGCGTGCTCAAGTGGAGACGAGAGGAACTACGGCAACTGGATGTAAGCACACGCAAGATGATGCATCGTCGCCGTTCTCACGAAGTGGCATAAGTAGCAAATAGTAAATTTTACAGGAAAGCAATAAAACGAAAATACGTAATTCTCAGGTCAACATAATATAGATGGATTTAGAGTTTGCGCTTTCAAAATTTTATCATGGAATGCTAATGCCTTGTTTTATTGTTTGGTAATTCCAGATTTAAAGATTTTAGATTTATTTTGTCAGTCTTTATAACTACAAACAAATCCAGCTTTTTTTATAACTCACACTGTCATTAAAGCACAACAAAATCATAATATAGTCAACGATAAAAATATTTAAGCAAAATATCAGAAACAACAGAATAATAATAATAATAATTATCAATTCACGATTTCGATACCACCGCCCGTGCCGGTCGCTACTGCACTGAAAGTTTCGGAGTAGAATATCGGTGTAGGTGTGCTTGAAGGTCACGAGCCCTTATAAAGATACTTTGGAATTAAAATGTTTCTTTTGCTTTATTTGCAAAGAATTTATTTTCCTTTATGGTTTTTGTTTTGAAATTTTGTTTTCCAGAAAAAACGAATGGGGTACAAAAAGGGCTCAGTTCACGTCTGGTATCCTGTTTTAATCAAACGCCCTTACAGACAGGTACATTTTACTCGTCTATTTACGTTTTATAATAATTTAATATTCAGTTGTAGCAAGTTAACGAGCTACCTATAATAGTGATTTATTTTTCTAAGTTCCAAGTAGGCCTACAATTAAGTGCATCTGTGTAAATAACGGCGTATAATGATTCGATTGCCTTTTAACGAATACTTTCTCGCATATGATATATTTTTAAAAGTATTTATATAAATAATAAATTTATAAAATAAGGTATCTACGCCTATGGCAGATCAAACAAAATTGTCGGTATGGGTTCGGAACGAGTTTTTATATTCTGCAATTGATATTGGAAGAACTATACTTCAAAACAGAACAGCACACAAGCAAAATACTTATATAATTTAAAATTCTAAAAATGAATGCCTATCATTATTTCGTATTATTATATCTTTATAATTAGAAATAAAACTGTGTTAAAAAATAATTCTTATTCAAACGTGCGAAATTCGGTCAAACTAGTAGCATACCGGTATTTGTGTATTGTTGGCATAAATATTTGAGCCGAAGACACAAGAATAAATAATAACCAGAAGGATATCTCCGCACATCTATACCGATATTTTACACAGAAACTTTCACTGCAGTAGCTAGCGGTACGGTCGGTGATATCTAAATCGTAAATTTATAATTGTTTAAATTATATTCAACATGTTCTATTGGCAGGGCAGATTAATCTAAATCAGCATTTAACAAACAAAAAAGAATAAAATACTAAATAGACACTCCCTGTATAAATCTCTGCACTTAACAAATAAAAAAGAATAAATACTAAATAGACACTCCCTGTATAAACCAATTATCCAAAGTTGTGCAATAACCTCCCATTTAACTTTCAAGTAACCTTCAAAGACACCTGCTACTTCGCGAACACTTAAAGCTAGTCACGCGAGACTTTTCACCCAATCATAAGACAAATCTTAAAAACAATAGTCTCGCGTGCAATCATATGAGACTAGGGAACCAATTAGAGAAAAGCCGATAAGCCGGTGCGAGCTGACGAACAACGGCAGCACAAAACTAAAAATCACTTTCGCTTTGTCAGTCGAACAAGCAACAAGTCGCAAAAACTTTAACCTAAAAAGCCAACATTCGCGGTAATCAATTCCAAACATTGTGCGATTTGATTTATAAAAGCTAATATGTAACTTATTAATAATTTAATGTAACAAAGTTGTAAATGTGTTAAATGTGAAAGTATAAAGCAGTGAATTAATCAAAATCAAATGTAGGGTGATGATTTTATTTTAAACATCCAGTGCTTTAACTAGAACTTCAAGAATATCTTCCAGAGGCTACAGGGTGAAGCATAAGGCCTTCACCCCAGGTAATCTATTTTAAATACAGTCATACAGTCCACCATGATCGAAGGCAGTATATGTCAAGCCCAGTAAAGCTAGGGTGGAACAATAATTATTATTATTATTCTGTTGTTTCTGTTATTTTGCTTAAATATTTTTATCGTTGACTATTTTCTGATTTTGTTGCGCTTTAATGATAGTGTGAGTTATACAAAAAAGAGCTGGATTTGTCTGTAGTTACAAAGACTGACAAAATAAATCTTAAATCTTTAAATGTGTACGTCGAATTAGGTAACTTGTCTAATGAAGCTCAGGCAACCGCTGATTTTATTTATAAAATCGACAAATTATTTGATATTTTAAACTCATCAAAAACATCAGACGGTAAGAAATATAATTTGGCGTTTAAGGGTCTCAACTTTCAACTGACATTTTTAAATGAGAAGTTATTGCTGTTGGACAACTTAAAAGTGTTTAATAACCTAGGCGAGGATGTAACTGACAATTAGCACCATTCTTCATTTATGGGATTTTCTTAAAACAAAAAACGTTGTTTCTTTTTACTAGACGTTTAAACCAAGATCCGTTGGAAAATTTGTTTGGTCTTATAAGACAGCAAAATAGTAATTGTGCTAATCCAACAGCCATTCAATTTCAAAGAACCTTTAGAAAATTGTACTGTGTAAAGCAACTTAATTCAGGAATTCAAAACTGCGAGGATACTAATTCATTCGTAGCTCATACACATCCCTATACATCAAATTTTCCAGAAATTGATGGCAGTTATCAAAAAGAGTCCACGTTAGAAATGAATTTCGGAAGGTATTTTGCGGGTTACCTAATGAAAAAATGCCTATCTATACATTCTTGTACAATTTGCGAGGAATATTCAAAAGCCTATCAAAATTTGGACGATACATCTTTATTTTGTTACTTTAAAGCTTATAACAGCTCCAATTTAGATTTATTTAGTAACTTAAACATGCCACACAATGATTTCGTAAAATGTTTCTCCTTTTTAGAGGTAATATTTCAAATAAATTTTGAAACTATTATTATACACAAAAATGTAATAGATACGTTTTAAAGTATTTGTAGAAATACAAGTTTTTCACATCCATGTGAAAAATTTTCACATATTTAATAAAATTATTTGGTAGAGTAAGAATATTTTATACTCTTAAATGTATTGACTAAAATTTTAAAACTATAAAAGACAGAAAGGTTGTCATTTGGAAAGATAAGTAAATATTTTTTTAATTTTTTTTGAGCTTTTTTCGGTGCGCCTATGGAATACAAGTAATAACTAAAAGACGAGGTCATAGCTCATCGGCATCAACTACAAAGGAAATAATTGAGAGATATCCTTCTGGTTATTATTTATTCTTGTGCCGAGGATCTCCAAATCTATTAAAGTTTGTTTCTTATAGTCCGGGATCCGTAAGTAGTGTCGACCTTCACCCATCTGTTTAATGGATAAAAGTTTTTTTTTAATAAATAAAATATGTATTTAAATATACCGCAAATAGGTTGCCTAGGAAAATACGGTCACGGCCATTTTTTACTTTCCTTTCTGTGTACAGATAAGGAAAGTATAGGAATCATGATAAAAGTTACTTATGATGTCATTCTCTATTATTTTGTTCCTTTACATGATTTCCCTAAAATGGACCTAATTCGAGATATTTGAGGAAAAGTGCAAATTTCGAATTTTGAAGATAACTTAAAAACGGATAAAGAGAAAGACACCAAATTTTAAACTTAAGCTTCAATCCATCCTAAAGTGAGCTGATTAAAGTTTAGGTATAGTCAAAGCATCTGGAGAATACTTTACAGGGTGTCGTTTTTTTTACTTTAAGAAAATAAATAGTCTGGACCGTATTTTCTTAGGCAACCCATTTGCGGTATATTTATAAACACATTTTATTTAATAAAAAGAAACTTTCATCCATTAAACATATGGGTGAAGGTCGACCTTACTTCGGATCTTAGACTATTAGTATGTTTGTTATGTAAATGAATGCATTTTTTACAATTTAAAAAATATGACGAAAATAAGTAATAACTAACCAAATCATAATAAATCCAACTATTAAAAACTTTTTACATGTTATTGTAGAACTGAATTTAAAAAAATGTTTATTAAACTATCAAAAGATCTAGGTAAGCTATGAATGCAGAAATATATTTCTATATCCCTTAGGTATTCGTAGTTTTGACGGTTACACAAAATATCGAAAACGCAGTTCGTTTTTAAAGGATTTACTGATTTTTACAGAAATTCTAACCAGAATTGTGAAAATATTAGAATGACGGATTTCGTCAATTTTATATTGGAAATGAAATTTTACAATTTTCCATCCACGGTTATAAAATTGCTTTCGAGGACTAAAATTCCTAAGGATTTATCATGCCGCTGTGTCGTCAAATATATTTTCTCTTTTATAATGTAATAAAATTAATAATAAAATCAAATTACAGCTTAAAACGAATCTTTCTTACATAATAATAAAACGAAGTATTTCCTCTGATTGTATGGGGCATCTAAATAAGTAACTTTTTACGAGATGTAGAAATAAAAATCGGATATATTAATAATTAATTGAGCTCTCAGAAGCAAATATACCTATCCGTGACAATGAGTCATTTACCTAAAATGAAATGCGTACTCCAGAGTATAAAGGAGGCTCGACTGTCCTAAATAAAATTAAATTTAATCAAAAGTCTGTATTACTCCACTGATATTTAAAAATGAGTATAAAATTGTTTGAAATATACACCGAGTTTCCGAAATGTACAGTTTACAATAGAGCAAAGTGCGAATAAAAGGAATAGATAAACTCTTGTTCCATGGGACTCTTTTATATATACTCACAGAGTGAGAGCCTCATCGATGAATTATATTCGCGTCCAGTCCGAATATATTATCTTGATTAACCACTACGTAGTCCGCCCCTGGCTACTCTCCGTGCACCATGTTTGTAGGTAAGAAAGGCAAAAATGCCCTTTCCCCACCTTGAATCGTGTGTTCTGCGGTATATCGGTACTCTGCTGTTCATTCGTTCTTGGTGCACTCAACCGTGACGATCGCTTTATTTGTGACTGTGTTTAACAGATCGACTGTAAGTATTAAAGCCATTATTATATACTTAATTCTTAGGATTAGGTACTCTGAAAGATGGGTAAAAGAAGTAGGTCTCGTAGCAGATCGTCTGAAAGGCGACTGATAAGAAGTAAGGAATATAGAGATCTAAGAAAAAAGCTAGATAAATTTGAAAGAGAGAGAAAAAGATATAGACATGCTTCTCGTCGGCGTGAAGGTCGCGCTCCGAGTGAAGCGAATTCACATAGAAGCACATCCAGATATCGTTCTCGTTCTCGATCCAGACAATTTGAAGGCCGTCTTTCGAGTAAAGCGGATTCATTTATGAGCAAACATGAAGGTCGTTCTTCGAGTAAGACCCATGGTGGAAGAATACAGGTGAAGCGGTAAGCGGTACGAAATTTGGTCATTCTTGCGCATGACGTCACCTGCGGAGCATATTTTTGTTTTGCCTATGTCTCCAATGTTAAAAAGCGACTTTTAAAGTTATTCTAATATTTTCCTGGTAGTGTTTAGAAGTTTATAGATATATTTATCTTAATATTTAATATCATTTCTATATATCAATAGGCCTGTTTAGAAATTATTGGTACCTATTATTAAATTAATTTCTAATTAAGTTGGTAGTGTAATTGATATAAAGTTAGGTTATGTAACATTTTTGTTGTATTTTAAAGATAAAAGAAATAGTTTATATTCATTATTGTTATTTTAATATATCATTATTATTATTATTATTATATTATTGATACATTAAAATCTACTATATTTTAGGGTGTGTAGTTACTAACAAAATGCCAGGTTGTGCAGTGTTTGGCAGCAAGAACTATTTAAGAAAAACAAAGAGAACAAATATTAAGTATTTTGGATTTCCGAAAACAGATATAGCCAAAGCCTGGGTCAACGGTTGAGGGTGAAAAGATACAATTAATTTGAAAAATGGTATGATTTTTGCAAACCTAACTTGAATATGATTAATTTTATGTCTTGTTTCTTTTTTAAGCTTGTATTTGTTCCATACATTTTTCGAAGGATAGTTTTGAAATACCCTTACAACAGAGGCTATTAAACTACTCCACTAAGACTGGTAGAAACTTAAAACAAACAGCAGTTCCTACTGAAAATCTCCCATTGAAAAAAAGACAATTGTCTGCAGAAAGTGAAGATAGATTAAGAAGGCAGGCAAAAAGATATCGACAAACATTTATTGAGAGCTTTGTTAATATTTCGGGGCATTCCAGACAATTGTCAACTGCAGACCAGGACAAGGAGAATCAAAGTTTGGAAACAGACACTCAAAATATATTGGTATCATCAGAACTAGAAACGTATGTACAAATTTACCTTATTAACAAAAAATGTGGCTTTGAAAAGAAAATTACACAACTTAGCATATACTAATTAACATTACAATCATTTCAAAACAATTTTTTTATTAAATATTAAACTTTGAAGTGATAATTGCTTTTATTTCAATATTAAAAATTAAATTATTATTTTAGAGAAAACTATTAAGAGTCTTCGTGAAGAACTAAACAAAATTACTGAAAAATGCAACAAATCAAATATAGAAATACTTTCATTGAAAGAAGAAATTAGCCAGTTGAAAAATAATTCTCAAGTGGAAATTCAGGAAAGTAAAGTAAATGTTTCACTCCGGGTCAAATAAATGTTTTATACAATGAAAATAAAAAAAGAATTCGTTGAAGTTCGGATGACATAGCATCCACAATCTCCCTAAGAAGCATTCGTCCTAAGGCTTATAGATTTTAAGAACTGTTCATTATCCTTTACCTGGGTTTACTACCTTAAGAGACTGGCCTAAATGTTTAAATTTAGAACAATACATATACATTATAAAGTGTTAAGCAAGATAAAGAAGTAAACATTATGTATAAACCATTTTTAAACATAAATAAATCAATTTAAAATAACACCTGTGTGCTTTTTATTAAAATAAAGTATGTTTTGCCAAGTGTTTCTATTTATTAAATACATAAAGGGGTTTACCAGCACCCAACCATACAAGAAAGTAATTGATCTGTGCATACAAGTTATTGATATCCATGTTTGATGACTAATTTAAAATTAAATTATTACATTTATAATCTATAAAAGTGACCACATACTTCCAAACTGATTATTTAAGAAAATTGGCGACTAAAAAAATATACTGATCATAATAAAATTCATTTCACCTTAATTTTATTGTTCAGCGTTCGTTAACATTATACACAAGTTTACTTGAATCGATTCAAAATTATTTATTGTTGAAGAATTAATTACATTCTTATTAACAAAGATAACATAAGTTAAAATTCAAAGGAAAAAAAACAAACAAAATACTTATTCATAAATGAAATTTTTTATTTTAAAATTTTTTAAATTCTAATATCAAGACAAAATATAATATAAAAACAAAAATGCACAACCTAAGTACAAATATGACAATCGAGAAATATATATACAGGAGTATACACATAAATTAAAATGAACTACTTAATTCAAGGAATCAGAAAAATTTATCCACTTTGTAGTATACCTTTTTGAGCAAGAGTTTCTTGCTTTTTAAACATATTTAATGAGTCAGCACTTCCTATTATTAATTAATTGGCAAGAGGTTAAACATTTTTCCACTATACAGGGGACACTACATATTTCAGTTTCACATTTAAATTAGTTATTTGTGTATGCCTTTTATTAGTTCCAATTTTTATCCCTGCTGAGCCACTAAAACTTTTTAATGGTAATGTCTCTGTAAGTTTAGGTACGTTTTGGCTATCATCTTGATCTCAATCTATCAGATAGCAATGCTAGGTATGAAGATTTAAATCCTAGATGTAACATCCTCTTCCAAGTTTTGTGATGGAAAAATTCAGTTTCTGATGAACACTATCTTTTTTACGCCAGAGAGAAACTATATTAGGCTAAATTCCTTACACCATGGCTAAATTCGAAATAAATTACCTACTTTTTTTGTATAAAAGCACAAAATATTTTTTTTATTTGGCATTACTTTTGTACAAGCGTCTATCTGCCTATAGTGACTTTTCTTGTAAGTATTATTGAGCATAACTTGATGTTATTTGACGCAGTTGTTATTTTCTTCTAAATATATTTTCAGTTTTATAATGATTATAGAACTAGGAAATAAAAGTTAAACTTCTTGACAATCATTACAAAATGTAAACAAAGCCATGGAATGGCATGGCAGTGTATAGGCGGCCGTGGCAATACCGATGTTGACGTCATAAAACCTGCGCACCGCTTCACCTGTATCCTTACACCATGAGTAAGACGACTTCACGTGAAGTGCATCAAATTCGTAGTTCTAGCGTCGCTGTCTCTCTTTACAGTCGAGCTCACACAGGCCGTAGTTCAAATAGCCCTGACGGCTTTCGCCCGAGTGGTACGGCGTCAGCTGAGGAGGCAGAGTCGGATCAAGAGATGGGTTTAGAAAATGTTAAAGTTGATGCTTCGCCAGTTCTAATTATTCATGATGACAATGGGATATCTGAAGAGACCAGAAATATTTTAGGACCCGATCCTAGTAAAAAGAAAAAATGCGGATTTAATCTGCATGCTGCTGTTGAGCCAATATGGTCGCATATCTTAGCTTTTGGTTTCTCTTCGGAAGAAAAAGACCGGCTTTTTAAAAAATATGAAATGCCAGAGAATTGTAAACTTTTAACTCCTCCTATAATAAATCCTGAAATTAGTGCTAGTATGAATGCGCTTCATACAGCAAGAGACGACACACACTTAAATTATCAAAATCAGATCGGTAAGGTTTTAGCAACTTTGGGACGTGCGATAAATGTTATCTTAGAAGAGGAAACTAGCATTCCTAAGCAAGTTAAAGAAAACCTTCTAGCATATACAGCTGATTCTGGACGCATGTTGTGTACAATTGTGAATGAGATGTCGAATAAGCGGCGTTAGAAAATGTTCCTCCGGGAGAATTTTTATTCGGCCCAGACTTGGGTGAAAAAATTCAAGCATTAAAAGCGATGGAAAGAGTAGGAAAAGATATTCGGCCAAGTAATTCTCTTAACTATAATCGCACTCAATATAAACCACCCCTCGAACATTTAAGAAAAAAGGGAGGAGGGACGGACAAGCCACATACTGCAACGAATGGGCAGTTAAACAGGAGAGGTCCGGCTCATCAAAGGAGGGAGATGAGGCCACAAAAAGGGCGACCTTCTTACACGGGGAGATATTCAATCCACAAAAAACGCTAGAGGTAAGTCATATTAAAGTTTTTTCAGGTCGCTTACAATATTTTATAGAGATTTGGAAAACCGTGACCCATAGTCCAACAGTTTTATCTTGGATCTGTGGGTACAAAATTCGTTTCTATAAAAAGCCATTTCCTTCGACTGGTCCACAAATATGTAACTTTTCGGCTAGGGAAGCTGCTTTAGTAGATCAAGCCATTGTGGAACTTTTGACTCTAGGGACCATCGAGAGATGCAAGCCAACTGATTTTAATTTTGTTTCTTCAGTATTTTTAGCAGACAAATCAAATGGTAAAAAAAGGTTTAACCTTAACCTTAAGAATCTTAATAATTATGTTATTACACCTCACTTCAAAATGGAAGATTTTAGGACGGTAATGAGACTTTTAAGTCCAGGATCATTTATGACGTCAGTAGATTTAAAAGACGCCTATTTTTCAGTCTCTGTCCATTCAGATTTTCGCAAATATTTGAGGTTCAAATTTAAGAACATTCTTTATTAGTTTACTTGCATTCCTTTTGGGCTTTCATCAGCACCATTTTGCTTCACTAAATTAATGAAACCGATAGTTTGTTACCTGCGCCAAAAGGGTGTTTTATGCGTCAATTATTTAGACGATTTTCTCGTTTTTGGTGAATCCTTTGACCTTTGCTTAAAAAATACAAACCTACTCGTACAGCTCTTAGAATCACTGTGTTTCACAATAAACAGGGAAAAAAATTGTTTAATTCCTAGTACATCCAAATTATTTTTGGGATTCATATTTGATTCTAATACAATGGAAATTAAATTACCAACAGAAAAGAAAGAAAATATAAGAAAATGGTCTTTATATTTTAAAAATAAATCTAATTGTAAAATACGTGAATTTGCAAAGTTTATTGGAACTTTAGTTTCAGCTTGCCCAGCCGTCAAATACGGCTGGTTGTATACAAAATCGTTAGAACGGGAAAAGTTTTTAGCCCTTCACCAAAACAATATGAATTTTGATGCTACCATGTCTATTGCCATATATTTACAAAGATAATTTTCTTGGTGGGAACAAAACATTTTGAAATCATCAAATGACATTAGGAGAGGTAGTTTTAAAATCGAAATATTTACTGACGCCTCCTTGACAGGCTGGGGGGCTTGCTGTGGCACAGAAAAACCTCACGGTTTTTGGAGTGATTCGGACAGAAACTTTCATATAAATTTTTTAGAATTAACAGCCATTTTCTATGGTCTGAAATGTTTCGCAAATAAGCTTTCTAACTGTGATGTCCTATTGAGATGTGATAACACCACTGCAATATCTTATATAAATCGGATTGGTAGCATCCAATATTCACAACTTAACTCATTGACAATGGAGATATGGCAGTGGTGTGAACGTAGAAATATTTGGATATTTGGTTCCTATATAAATTCTAAAGATAACTATGAAGCAGATAGCGAGTCACGACAAATTAGTACTGAAACCGAATGGTCATTATCAATGGCGGCTTTTCAATTAATAATACAATATTTTGGTTACCCTGAAGTGGATCTCTTTGCCTCACAAATTAACAAAAAGTGTGAAAAATACGTATCTTGGCACAGGGACGTAGGATCTTTTGCTGTGGACGCATTTACGTTGAATTGATGGTATTTAAACTTTTATGCATTTCCCCCATTTAATTTAATTTTAAGAGTTTTACAAAAGATAATCCAAGATAAAGCTGAGGGCATTCTAGTGGTACCTTATTGGATTTCTCAGCCCTGGTACCCGCTGTTTTCCAAGTTAATAATTGGAAAAGAAATATATTTAAACCCATCTCCTAATTTGTTAATCTCTCCTTCTAGGAAAATACACCCTCATAAGAAGAGGTGTTCCGGATGAAGTACTAGATACTTTAATCGCATCAATAACACCCGCTACTATTAAACAATACAACACTACTTATCGCCTATGGTGGAACTTTTGCATAAAAGAAAAGATTCCGATTTATGAAGCAACAAACAGGGACGTTCTAATGTTTTTAGTTAAAGTTGCACAAGAGCATAACTATAAGTACGGGGCATTGAATTCACATAGATTAGCACTGAACCTTACCCTATCTAACGATCTTGCATCAGATATGATAGTAAAGAGGTTTATGAAAGGTATGTCACGTTTAAGACCAGCACAACCGAGATATTCTCATACATGGGATCCCCAACAGTTGTTCACTTATTTGGAAGGCTTGCCTGCTAACTTAAGTCTTTTGCAACTTTCACAAAAATTAGTAACCCTTTTAGCACTCATTACAGGTGGTAGGCTCCAGACTATTTCCCTTATTAGGTTATCCAATATAAGAGAGGATCAAGACAAGATTCAAATTGACATAACAGATCCGATTCAGAGCTAAATAGAGAACAGCCTAATTTACACATACCTTTCTTCATGGAAAAACCATGCCTTTATGTTGCAACGACATTAAAGACATACATTGGGAAAACTAGACAATTTAGAGCTCCCGATCAAGACCTAATTTTCCTTGGTGTTAAAAAACCCCATTTGATTGTCAATAAACAAACCATAAGTAGGTGGGTGAAACAAATGCTTTCGTTGGCAGGAGTTGATACATCAGTATTTAAGCCTCATTCTACGCGACATTCGTCTACATCTGCTGCTTTGAGACAGGGAGTCCCTTTGGAAACAATATGTAGGACAGCGAGGTGGTCAGACCGAACAGCTACATTCGCAAAATTTTATAATCGTCGCCTTATTGATAAGACTGTTTTCGCTAAAGTGGTTCTAAACATGTCTGTTTCCACAAACTGAGCTATTTGTTTACTCTTTAGTAATTAGTATGTTTTAAATTTTCATTTTAATATTCAGTTGTGTTTATTAGTTTGAAGTTGTAAAACTATAGTTGGTGGTTAAAACTGTTTCATTAAAATATTTAATGTTCCACCATTGTTGTTTCCTTTTGTTCATTACTTGCAACCATAGATTCTTTGAACAACTACGTAGTGGTTAATCAAGAGAATATATTCGGACTGGACGCGAATATAATTAATAGATCAAACGAACTTACCTTAAGTGAAGTTCGATCGTAATTATATGAAGCGTCCAGTCCGAATATATTTTCTTCCCACCCATCCCTTTAGTAATCCCCTCATGGTTGCTGGTAAATGGGTAATGAATAAATACTTTGAAGAATGAACAGCAGAGTACCGATATACCGCAGAACACACGATTCGAGGTGGGGAAAGGGCATTTTTGCCTTTCTTGCCTACAAACATGGTGCACGGAGAGTAGCCAACGGCGGACTCCGTAGTGGTTAATCAAGATAATATATTCGGACTGGACGCTTCATATAATTACGATCGAACTTCACTTAAGGTAAGTTCGGTTGATCGATTAATTTTAAATGCTGTGTCTCTTTTGAAAGGACTTTTAATTGTCTATCCAACCATATCGATAAGAGTGGAAAATTTATTTTTATGTAGGGTTAGTTGTTCAACAGTACACTATCCACATACTGTGAATCACCCCATTAATCAAACATAATATTTAAAATAATACATTATGAAAAGTATATCGTGTTATAAAAAACAGTACCAGGTCCCAAATGTTTTTCAGTTATCGTGCAGTTATCAACTGAATGTCAGGAGCGGGTCGCCTGTTGTACGTAAAACCCATTTGTATCTTAATAACCTAAAATTCAGAAATAAGTCATTTGCCTCATGGCTTCTTTTTGTTTCCTTCGTAGTTGCCGTTATTTCTTATTTGTCTTATAATTTCTAACTAAAAAATGTTGGAGGTCACAGTGGAAAATAAGAAGTAAATATTTGTAGCTTTCTTCAACATCCAAGGAGCATTTGAGAATACCTACGTTGACTGCATTATCAGAACTTGTAACGGTTGGAACCGTTATTACGTTATTTCGACACAACCACCTCTTACTCAAATGGCATTTGTCGACTTGTGAGATTTATTTTTGATTTGGTCTCAGCCAATCAACTTGATTTTATTTTAATTTATCTTGGTCATCCAAAATAATAAATGATTTTTATTTATCTTTCTGATTTTATAAGGTTAGTTTTGATAATAATATGTTATTAAATATATATATTTTGTGCAAAGATTTCTTGAACAATTTGTCAAAGTTTAAACATAACCTCAATATCAACAATAAATAACACATGGTTAGTTTTATACAAAAGTATATATTATATTTTTGGAATAAGATATTAATCTTTACTATGTTTAAATATATTAAATAAGATTTTTCCTTTTCATATTAATATTTGTCTCTGTGAAATTATTAATTTAATATCCTATTCAAATTTCCTATTTCCTATCTTAATATTTTAACCCTTTTATAGCCCATGGCTATATATAGACGGTTTTTGATTCTTCTCTGGACATTTTTGGTCTCATCGCTAGACAGTTTCGAGTTCGAGTTTAAGTTTGAATACTGAAGATCATTCACACGTTTATCACTAGACGTTTCATCCCAAGTCGGTTGAGTTTGAATACCATATATCTTGAAGATCATTCACGGTGCAGAATTATGCAGAATTACGAATAAGGATCCCGAATCCCTTGTGGAAGTTGCCTGACGATATAACATGAGAAAATCTTGATTTACATTCCGTATATTACCTAACTTACCAAAAGTGCTTACTCAATAAATCGTTTTAAATTTGAATTTAGTAAAACTTATGTGAATAACAATTTGCTAACTACCTTATCTAAAGCATGGTTTGAGTATTATTTGTTAGTGGTCAGTGATTTTCTATATTTTTATCACTAATCTTGAGTCAAGTGTAGTAAGCTTTAAATATAGTAGTGCCCAACTTCTTTTTCAAAGTTATTCGAGTTA